CTCCCTTGTCTCCTCCCCACTGCTCCAATGCATGACATCAGGATCACACTCCCTTTGGCTCTCACCGCTGCTCCAGGCCTCAGGCGCCTCCTGGTGGCCAACCAGCCTCTCTGCGCCCTGCTCGGAGTCGGAACCCTGTCCAGGGTCCTCCACATCTTCCAGAACTGACTCATAGGGCCCCTCGCTGTTGGAGTCTGGCAGCAGCTCCAATGGCTCCTGCTGGGCCACAACAGATATCTGAGGACTAGTGCTATCCAAATCAGTCCTCTGCATCCGTCTCCATCTTTATACCTCCTTCATAGTTTTGTGAGCTCTTCTTTCCAATATACAATTGATTTGGACAAAGCGTATAATAAGCTACCCATAGACGGGGCCTGCCAATTCATTTTAGGCCATGTTTGTGGTTCACCCCTGCATGCTAATCCATAATTTGCACATAGCAAATTATGATTAGCAAAACTCCTCATTTCCTATTTTAAATCTAGCTGACAACAATGCTTTCTGGTTACATAAAGAATGAAGGAGAAAAACTGCTGTGTATGTGGGGAGAAGGTTGTAGCCAAATATCAGTCTTATGCCAAATCTAATTATCTTTTCTGCGTGTCTTCTCATGTCTTCTCTCAATTTGATCCCAAATAACAATAGGCAAGCTGTTGGCCTATCAAACAGGGACCAAGATGTAGCTTTGATCACAGCAAGAGAAGAGATAAAGGGACAAGTCTGGGAGGAGTTCCCAGGAACTATTGTTGGCATCCCAGGACTGTGCTCGAGGACTGATGAGAAGCAAACATTATACGCTTTGAAATTCTTTGGTAATGAGGGACAATGCACAACTTATTTCCCCTCCTCTGTAGGATTCCCAGCGAAGCCTTTTTATTACATTTTTAATGCTCATACTCATACAAATTATGTGAAGCAAGCTTTCATTAAAAGTTGCCTCCTTTGAAATAAAATGATTCTAGAGGTGCCCAGTGCCGTCACCAATATAATAGGCTTGTTTTGCACCAATTACTTTAATCCAAATGTAATTGGCTAAAATGTGCCGCACAATGAAATTGTAAAATAAAACTTTAAAATGTCCCATCAATTTCCATTTGCATTTTAAAAATTAAATTATGGGCATGAACTCAAAAAACAGAACATGTTGCAGATAGAAAGTACATGTGACATAGGGAAGTTCTTCTTACATTAATTTTCATTGTTAGTGAAATGAAGTTCAAAATTAAATTTGGGTTGCAAATTACGGTTTTATATAGGCCTCCTATTACTGCCTAAGGAAAGCTGTGGTCCCTAAAGATGTATCTGTGATAGGCCTCCAAATTCCATATGTTACTCTGGCAGAAAAAAATACATTGATGGTTTGAAATGAAAGACAAGGGCTTCATTATTCCCTTTAATAAAGAATCAGGATTATATTAGACTAGAAAATCAACAGCCAAGAAAGCTTGTCAGGCAATCGACTCAATCACAAGGATGCAGATGTTTTGTGTTTTTCTATTTATAAGAACTTTATTTGACAAACAGGGGTTGACATGCACAGTGAAGGTTTATCAATTGGTTTTTTTTAAAAGAAATACTCATTACTTGACCTTCCAAATAGTGCTATTAATCTGTTTGAAGACGTGATTCTGTCCACTGGTGCAATGCGTTGGCATTCATTCTGGGCCTGTTCTTTTCATCCAAGATCACTTTGTCAATAAATTAGAATGCTTTCAGCTGATAAATATTTCGATTTTAATTTGAAAACGACATGCGCAGGAGTTTCCCAATGGCTTGCTTTGTCCATCTATGGATAACATGACTTTGCCTTCACTTACCATATGTCAGGCGTGCCTCATTCAGTATCCAAGAAAGAAAACCCCCCAACTCCATTTGAATAGAGATAAAGGTACGTCTACTGGACATGAAATGAAAACAGCTAAAGTGAAGCAAGATCTGAAGCAAAAATGCAAGAACGTGTACATATCAAACGTTTGCCCAAAACCCTCCCCCCNCATACATACATACATACATACATACATACATACATACATATATATATACATACATACATATATATATATATATTAGATTTTTATATCTAATTAGATCTATACTAGTCTCCCTTTATTTATTTATCAGCACAAATATAAAAAAACACACACACACACACATATATATATATATATTATATATAGGAGATTCAGGGTTCATGTACACGTTAAACGAGAAAATCAATCAAACCTGAATGTATTAGTACTTTTGCATTTACAACAATTCTGTGCAAACTTAAGCACAATGTTCACGCATATGTAAAAAGAGACATTTTTAACATTAGCTTCAATGATCCACTTATTTTAGTTGAATGCCATAGACAGTAGCAAAAGTCCAGTTTTTCACAGGAATTGTTAACATAAACAACAGTTTAGCTTCTAGGAAAGCAGTGGTATGTATGACCAGTGGAAAACAAGAGTATTTTTCATTTGTCTAAGCCAGGGATGGCTAACCTTTTTGTCATCACGTTCTGAAAGCACGCCCACACCCTCACCCACAATGCAACATGCATTTGACACCCCCCCATGCACGCCACCCTGTGCATGCGTGTGCAACCCCCCATGCTCCTCCGTGCATGTGTGTGTGAGACCTCCCCTTGTGCCCTATTTTGGGCCTAGTAGGGAGCAAAAGCAGGCTGCGGGGGGCACCCCTGCACTCCCCCCCGCCCCCATGCATGTGCCACTTTCACATGTGTTCCATGCATGGCAGAGACCCAAAAATCAGCTGACCAATAATAGGTGCACCTGCATGCACCATGAAACTGAGCTGGGTGACGACTCACGTGCCCGCAGAGAGGGCTCTGCGTGCCCCTTGTGGCACACATGTCATAGGTTCATCATCACTAAGCTATGACGGTCAGTTGTAATTACATCAGTGCTATATGTGCTTGTATGTGCTTGTATGCTATGAGTGAACATGTTCTCAGAGCTAGCATTTGTTTGAGCCACATGCATGAAGACAGATGAGCCATGAAAGACAGTGAGACATTTCAGAGATAGTAGATAAATCCCATGGTATCTCAGATAGTGCAGGAGCCACATAAAGCCGTCTAGTGTATCTTCTAGAATCAACTCAGTGCTATTGTTCAGAGATTGAAAGGATCAGCTGGTGAGCCATATACATCTCATCCATTGGGCTTCTCTGAGAGACTTGCTTCAGTGATGTGCTCAGAGTGTGAATGTGATCCAGATGAGTTAATATCTTGGATAGAGCATCACTACTTACCAGAACTACATACAGGCAGGCACAGGCTGCTGCCAGTGGTATGTGAAAAGAGGTAAGGGTCTAATTATCAGTCTCCCATCAGATGACAAGTCTTGGAAGTCTAGCAAGGGGAGATTTCACTTGGATAAATTGTTCCAACCAATTATCCTCCAGGCTTCAACAATGGAATGTCATCATGTGACATTATTTTATTTCATGTGTAATATATTGTGTTTATGCAGTTTATGCAGAAACAGATGATCATATTCTGTAATTTAAATATTTTTTTCTTCATATTTGTTTTTAGTTCAGAATATTATTTACTTAATGTTAGTCGTCATATTAATAATAATATAACTCACTATGAAAAGTTGCATTATTTTGTATAGTAATATTTATATTTTAGGTTATTTTATCCATGCATTAATTTTGCATATCAAGTTTATACTGTGCTATCTATATGTGATGCAGTTTTGATCCATAAATGAGGATATTAGTAATTGTTTTCTATTTGTGTTGCATAGGAGTGGACACAAAGTTGAAGTTCACACTTGAGCCGTCATTAGGTCAGAATGGTTTTCAACAGGTAACTGATATTTATTCATTGGAATAAATAGTCTTACAAAAAACCTTATTTTTCCAAACATGTAGACAAATAATAATTTAAAAACTGCATTAATTAATTAAAGCTGGATTAATTTTATTATTTGAAAGAGCTAAAGTATTGTTCCGTTTGTTCTATTTTATTTTGATTTTTTTCTTCCTTAGTGGGAATTATTATTATTTTCAATAGAAAGAAGCTCAAAGTATTAAAATCAATTGTATATTTTTGTGGTTCTTGTGTAAATGAATTAATATGTTTTTCTTGTCTGTTTTGCAATTGTATTTAAATATTTTATGGGCAAATCGTTTAATGAAACATATTGCTTCTATAACATTGAAATACATGTAGTCCTCAACTTACAACCACAATTGTGACCAGAATTTCCACTGTTAAACAAGGCAATTAAGTGAAGCACACCCAATTTTACAATGAGTTTTCCCCTGGTTGTTAAGCAAATCTGCCTTTTTTCATTTACTTTCCTTGTGGGAAGCTGACTGGGAAAATTGCAAATAGTTATCATGTGATCCTGCAACATTGCCATAAATACCGGCCAATTGCCAAGGGCCCAAATTTTGATCACATAACTGTAGGGATGCAGGGATGGATAAATAAGAGTACCAGTTGTAAGTCATTTTTTCCAGTGTTGTTATAACTTCAAATGGTCACTAAATGAATGGTTATAAAGCGAGGATAACCTGCACTGTATGTTGAATTGTGTTTCAAATTGGAATAATTTCACATTGTTGGGATGGTTGCTTTTAGTGGCATGATGCTCTCAAAGCAGTGGCAAGGCTGTCTACAGGAATCCCAAAGGAGTGGAGAAGAAAGGTAAGTAAACTCCCATCCCTCATAAAATGCATAGTGATCAACATTATGTGAAGCTCTGGACTGAAGATAAATAGTTACTGTTTATTCCAGCAATGAAAACGTCCATGTATTTAATGCTCTAGGCTAGGCACCAGTAAAAGTTTCTAATTAAGCAAGATCCTTCTTAGAAAAATACTGAAATTAGGAATAACAAATAGATAAGAAAAGGTGTTTCCCTTACCTTGTAGCAATAGAAAGGTAATTAAGAAAGTCAAATTAAATTAAGAAATGTATAAATATTGAAATAAACACCTGCTAATAGACAGACAGAATTTTATTTTTGTCATTGATCAATAAAAATACAATCAATAGAATGAACAACATAAAACTATCCTTTAAGAACAGGAATTATTAGCAAAGCTTACACATAATGTAGCAAAATTTTGCTATTTTTAGAGAAATAAATTTATCTTTATTATTTAATAGACAGTACAGGTAAAAGCTAATAGTGTGTCCCAGAAATTTAAATAAAAGAGAGGGGGTCAATCGGTGGTGAATGTCCCGTTAGAACTAGCAAGGACAACATAGGCTGTGTTTTCTATGGCACCCATATCGCAGAGCAGTATAGGGTTTCATATGGGGTTTTCCTGTATTTCCATTCCAGAGCAGCTGTGGGGAAAACATTCAATCAAATGAAATATAATGCTCTTCTGAATTTGGGAAGTGTGATATGATATAAACATGAGTCTGGTTTAGGCACTAAAACGTGGTTATTTCTAATTATATTACATGAGAAAGCAACAATTTTTGTTTGGTTTTGTTTGGTTTTCTTTGACTTAACATTGATCTAACTCTGAGGTTAAGATGTTATCACTGGAGATACCATAGGGGCTCAGTTTCTTTTGGATCAGTCTTCTCAAGAAATATGTCAAAATTAGACGGGTCAGTCTGCTAGAGTTGTGATTGTAATTTCAACGAGTAGGCAAAGATATTTATCCACAGATTAAATTCATGTTTACTGCTTTCTTCTGAAATACTGCATTTTGAACACACTGGGTAACCTAGAAAATACTTCTAAGAAATTTTGCTTGAATCCTTTCTAAGGTAATCATACTGTTATATGGCTAATATATTTCACTATAAATGTACACATTTCCCTATATATAGGCATTTCATAGCTATGAACTATATAACTTACTTTAATTTAGCATATGGTTTTTAATTTGCCATGATTGTAAACTTTATTGCAAAATAAGCAGAATAAAGAAGTAGATTTAGAAAACAGAATCACTTAAAAAGTTGTAGGACTATATATTTCTGTCTGGGATATCTACATGAAGCCGCTGGGTGAGATCATACGACAGCACGGGATAAAGTACCATCAAAATGCAGATGATACTCAATTGTATCTATCTGCCCCGTGCCAGCTCAGTGTAGCGGTGGACGTGATATGCCGATGCCTGGAAGCTGTCAGGATCTGGATGGGGATGAACAAATTGGTGCTCTATCCCGATAAGACCGAATGGCTTTGGATGTTGCCCCTGAGGGACAGTTCAGACAGTCCGTCCTTGATCCTGGGGGGTGAAAATTTACCCCCCTCAGAGA